AACACATAGCCAACCAAAAACCTTTCCAGTCCAGCATAGTTCCTGGCACACAGTAGACACCCAGGGAACACTTAGATAAATTAACTGCACTGCCACCCTGTGCATTTCCTGCCTTCCCAGGCCCTGGGCTCCCCCTTGCACTGAGAGAAGTCTCTTGCCCAATGGAACCTTCCTTATTGGAAACCCCATGGTCCTAGCCCCTGCTGCACCCTCATCCTCTGCCTAGCTCCTAGCACAGAAATCCTAAAGTAGCCTGATAAAGAAAAATCCTGCAATTGCTTTTATACCCTCTGCCTGCTTTCCTTCAGGCTTGCTGCCTGATTTCTACCAGACCCTGAGCTGTGCGGCCGTTCAGGCTAATCCTTCTCCCGATGATGACGTGAGTGACTTTTGGCGATGTTTCTTTTCTATAAATGGAAAGTTCCTAAAATTACATGGCATAAGTGACCTGCTCTGCCCCTCCTGGCCTGCTTATGTCCTCATTGGTAAGAAGGCCAGCTTCACCCTCTGCAGGGTTTTCTGGATAATCTGCTACAGGCTATGGCTTTGAAAAATGTAGTTAATATTCTACAGAAAACCAACCCAGTTTCTGTAAAGAACCAAATACTGTTGAATCGACTCTATGCAAATGGCTGTTGAAATAGCTCATTGGGGTCAGATTGATCCTTGTCCCAATCAATCCTCATCTGTGTTCCTCTTCCACTGCTCTTTCTGCTGACTTAGACAGTTTCCAAATGGCCTGAGTGAAAGCCTTGAGCCAGTGGTCCAGAAGCATCTCACTGGCGGTGTGTTGGCAGGAGGTTATCCCCTGGTATTAACAGGGACATTTTACCTCCGTGGAGGGTGTCTTAGGGATAATGTCATCCAGCACCCCATTTTACAGATGAAAGAAACTGAGGCTTAGAGAGTAGAAGTGTCTTGCCCATGGTCATATGGTTAGTAAGAGGCAGAGCCACTGAAACCCAGGCCTGATGACTTCTACCCTCATGTGACACCCTTTGTGACCCATTCCAACATTTAGTAACTTCTAGAGAGCTGACCAAGTCCCAATCTTTAGATCCCCTGAAGGACTTGGAACTCTCTTACTTCTTATGGCAAATCCCACTCCAAGTTCTTCTTTAGACACTAACTTCTCCACCTGATATAATACTCTAAAGAAAGCATTGGAGACCCAGTTGATTCAGTCTCACCTCCTGATTTCTTCTGGACATCAGAACAAGTGTGAATTTGTTGTTTCTGGACCTTAAGCAGGGCAGCATGTCCTTCTGGACCCATCCCAGACTCTCCCATGTGTCTGTGGACCCAGCTGTGACCCTGGCTGACCTGTGGGCTCAGCCTTTTTTCAAGATTCCAGCCTTTTCTGTGTAACCAGCAAATGCTCTGGCAGAGAGCAGCCCTCCATTAGTAGGATCAATACGGCTTCTCTCCTGGGGCTGCCCTTTCTCACAGCCTCTCCACCTCCCTTCCCATATGTTTGTTCCATTCTTGCATAGCCTGATTTTTGCCCCTTAGAATTGAAAAGTGTGCCCTCATTACCACACCTACCCCAAAGTTTCTACGAAAGCAAACATCCTAGCAGACAGAAGAAAAGAATGGAGTTCAAGTCCTGAACAAATGACAACAGTTCCCAGAGGAAAAGTCCAGAGCTTCAGGAGGCACCCCTCTAGGACTGAGGTGTCTCCGGAAGCAAGGAGTGTGTTCTGTGAGATTCAGCACAGCACCATCTACTGGTGGGAGTAGGGCAGGACACTTTGACCCCATATTAAATATGAAACCTAGGCAGTAGTTCTCAACTAGAATCACCTGGGAACTTTATGAAATATTGATGCCTGTGTCCCACTCCCAGAGATTCTGATTTAATTGGCCTGGGATGTGGCCTGGGCTGGGGGATTTTCACAGCTCCAGGTGATTGTGCATCCAGGACTGACAGCCACTGTGTTAGAGGGATGTAGAGGCAGAGGAGGCCTTAGAGACCATCCACACCAGGATTCATCACATGGAACAAGAAGAGGCTCCTGCGCCTGAACTTGAATGCGTTATTTTATGTGGACATCCATTTCTCTGGAGGATTGGGACATACATTTTTCTCAGATTCTCAGTGGGTTCCATGACCCCCAACAGATCAAGAGTCCAGTTCAGATGTGTCCCTTTTGATGGTGCCAGATCTAGATGCTCAGCCAAAATTCTGGATTGGGGGCAAGAAAGGGAGTTGACAAGCCATTTAAAGGCTTAATGGATAATGTGCATGTTTCTGTAAAGAGACCACACCCATTAAAAGTCAAGTTTCTTAGCTTTGTTAGATCCACTCAGTGTGGTCACACTGACTAGTTCATGCTGCACGGAGTCTCTTCCTGGCAGTGTTACATGCTTTTGATTGATAAAAAATAAGAAGTGAATTACTGCTTAATTAATACACTGTGTCTGGTAGGCAAAAGCCCTCAAAACATAAGATCCGGGGGAAAAAAATTAATCCAAGGGGTCTTTGGTGGTAACAAGCTGGGAACCACTAACCTAATAAAAAAGAAACAAACCAGTTGCCTTCAAGTCAGCTCTAATCCCTGGCAACCCCGTGTGTGATGCCATATATGTCAGAGTAGAACTGTGCTTCATGAGGTTTTCAACAATTGGTTTTTCAGAAGTAGATCACCAGGCCTTTCTTCTGAGGCACATCCAGATGGACTCCAACCTCCAACCTTTTGGTTAGCAGCCAAGTGCATTAACCGTTTGCACCACCTAAGGACTCCACTAGTCTAATACAACCCACTTATTTAAGAGATGAAGAAACTGAGACCCAGAGAGGTTAAGGGGCCATCTTTAGGTCACACAGCTAGTTACAGAAATGTTGGAACCCTCACTCAAGCCTTGCAGGCATGCTGTAGGGACAAATAAATATGTGCAGAATATTTTGCTGGAAACCCTCACTTTGACCCAGACTTGGGAAATTCCTCACTGGTCATGCAGGTATGTGAGCCGCAGATAACCTACACCCACAGAGAGTTAAAAAACCTACTGTAGTTTAGTATTTCGTCAAATCTATCACCCATTGTAAGATATACTATCATTTTTGTACCACTAAGAAAAAGCACAGCCAAGTATAATTCTAAGAGGCCATCAATCATATAATGCATCCCAATTTTAGAGATGTTAAAATGTGAGAGAAAATGTGCATGTTGGAATCGAAGAAAAATGATACATTAGCCTCTCTCATTCCATTCTGAGTGGCATAGCTGCAGTTCTATGTGGTTTTCTTCCAGCTGGTTCTCTTCCCTGGTAAAGGTGCTAATGGAGGATTAAATGACACTTGGAATAAAATATTTAGATTGTAAAAAGTGGGAGTAGAGGAGCAGGCTCAGCCCACTCTGTGGGACCAGAGGACAGAATCCTAGATTTGTTCTCAAAAGACTTGGGTTTGAATTTCAGTTCCGAAGCTTTCTAGCAGTGTCATCTGGGGCAAATTCTTATTCCCCCCAAGCCCACTTTCCTCGTTTGAAAAATAGAGATATCTGCCCCCCTCCATCCCTCACAGAACTGTTGCAAAGCTGAGAAGAGAAAATGGTACAATACATGCAAGTTGAGTAATTTCGGTGCCTAATGCATGTTTGGAGCCCTGGTGACGTAGTGGTTAAGAGCTCGGCTGCTAACCAGAAGGTCAGCAGTTCGAATTCACCAGCCACTGCTTGGAAACCCTATGGGGCAGTTCTTCTCTGTCCTATAGGGTTGCTATGAGTCAGAATCGACTCGATGTCAACGCGTTTGGTTTTACAGGTTTTTGATGCATGTTCATGGCAAGAACCACCTTCCATTTGCTCAGCTGATGTCCGTACCTGCCCAGAACTGTGAAATGACAGGGTGGGTTTTTCAGGGAGGTGTTCCGCAGGTGAGGAACACGTCACAGTGATAGGCCTCAGAGGAAGTGGATGGAGCCCAGTGTGGCTTCTCTAGCCTTGGCCATACCTGGGACCTCTTGAGGAAGTATCCACCACCAATCCAAGGAAGGACCCACCCTAAATGGGAGCAGGGGTACTTTGGGCCAGACAGAAGCCTGCCTTCCCAGAAATAGGTGGCAGAGGTTCCAGGGGTCCTGCTCCCCAAATCCTGGGAAGTCACCTCTAGGACTCCCCATCTGGCATCTTGAGGACACACGGGTACACGCACGCACCCTCTTCTGCTGAGCATAACAGTCACTGAACCTTTTGCTGTCGAGTCGATTCCAACTCATAGCAACCCAACAGGATAGAGCAGAACTGCCCCACAGGGTTTTCAAGGCTGTAATCTTTACAGAAGCAGACTGCCACATCTTCCAAGTAACTGGTGGTTTCAAACTGCCGACGTTTCAGTTAGCTGCTGAGCGCTTAATCAGTGCACCACCAGGGCTCATAACAGTCACAGAAAGGACTATTCAGCCCCCTTGCAGAAAGGACAGGGCAAGAAGAGCCACCCTATTATACTTCCCAGGACCTCAGTTAATTTGCCTTCCCTCTGTGGGCCTCGGTTTTTTCATCTGTAAAATAGGAATGAGAAGCCCAGTCGTGCTTCCTCAATGGGCAAACGTAAGGATTAAACAAGGGGCTGTGTATGAAAATGCCGTCGATGTCAATGTGAAGAAGCACTCTGAGGGGAGAAAGAGCCCAGGGTGACCAGGAATTGGGAGGGACAAAGGACCTCAGACACACCAGTCATTCCCATGACTGCAGTAGTCTCTCCTATCTCATTACAAGGATGCAGTAGGCATCATAGTAAAAAGCACAGTCTGCAGTCAGACCTGGATTCAGAATTGGGCCCTACAACTTGCTAGGTGTCTGACCTTGAGCAAGTCACCTAACCTCTCTAAGCCTCGATTTCCTCATCTATAAAATTGGGTAACCAAACTATTCTCCCAGACTCTTTGGCGGATTAAATGAGATGATGTGTAAATGTGCCCAGTGCACAGCAGGCACTCAGCAAACAGGAGCACTGAGGCCCCTGCCACCACCCAGCTCTAACCCTGTGACTTCCTGCAGGTGGGGGGCGCAGGGGTCATGGCCGTGGGCGTCTGGACCCTGGTGGAGAAGAGCGGCTACCTGAGCATCCTGGCCTCCAGCACCTTCGCCACCTCTGCCTACATCCTCATCTTTGCAGGCACACTCGTCATGGTGACCGGCTTCCTGGGCTTCTGCGCCATCATCCGTGAGCAGAAGAGCTGCCTCTCCACGGTGAGTGCCACCTGCCCCTGAGCTGCTTGCACTCTGCCCACAGGGAGAAGGAAACCTGCCCAGGGCCTCAGGAATCATGCTGGAGACCCCTCACCACCGCCCCGTCCCCCAATCAGATTTCCCTATGCTAAGAACCCCCGTCAAGTAATAGGGGCTCCAACCCTGGACTGAGAAGCATGCTGAGACCAAGGGAAAGCTGCAGAGAGGTGGCTGCTCTTGGGTGGTGTTTGTTCTGTTTTCCATGTTCTCAGGACCTAGGCCAGGAGGGCAGCTTGGTTGTGGGTCCTTACCCTCCTTGTCCTCCTCCCTCTGCTCTTCCTCTTCTTCCTCCTCCTGTTCTCCTCCTCCTTCTCCCTTCCTCCCTCCTACCCCTTCTCCCCCTCCTCTTCTTCCTCCTCCTCCTTCTCCTCCTCTTCCTCCTTCTAGATTTTATTATGGGAATTTTCAAATATATACAAAAATCAAAAGAAAGGTATGATGAAGCTCCCGGTTCCCATCACCCTGATTCAACAGTTTGATCATCTCATGACCAATTGGGTTTCATCTACACCCTCCCCTTCTTCCTGCCCCCTCCCCCACCCCAGATTATTTTGAAACAATCCCAGACACCACGTCATCTGTAAATATCTTGGTATGTACTTATAAAACTTAAGGATCTTTTTTTTAACAACACAATGACATTAGCATTATCAAAGCTAAGAACAATTAGCCATCTCTCTTAATACCATGAAATAACCAGGCAGTTTCAGATTTCCCCAAGTGACCCATAAACTGGTTCATTTTTGTTTTGTTTTTCACAGTTTGTTTGAATCAGAGTCAAAATTAGGTTCATACGTTAAAATTGGTTGATTTGTCTCTCAAGTGTCTTTTAGTCTATAAGTTCCCCATCAGTCTCTTTTTTTCCCCCTTGTAATTTATTTGTTGAAGAAACCAGTCATTTGTCCTGTAGAGTTTCTCTCAGTCTGGGTTTTCTGATGACACCCCTGTGGTGGAGTTTAATATGTTCTGATAGTTGGATCTAGAAGCTTGATCAGATTCAGGTTGGATTGTTTTGACAAGACTATTCCATGGCTGGTGGTGTGGGTACCACAGACTTCTTGACAGGCTTCCACCTGGGACACTGGGGAGGTTACCCATAGCTGGTCCAGAATGTCAGGAAAGGAGACCAGAGTGTGACCTGCAGGGGACAAAGTCCTGGAGTCAAGCTCCGGGTCCCAGCAGACCGCAATACCTCAAGTCCCGTATACTCATCAGTAGTGACAAGGTCTCTGGTGCCAGGGTGGCCTCTCCCCACCCTCCATCTCCTTCTGGAGGGCCAAAGCCCATGGGTGAGAAGAGGGAGAAAGGACAGAGGAGGCTGAAAAGCATCCCAGCTTAGCAAGGAAGTGCCAGAGGCAGAGCCAGTCCAAGTCTCAAAGAGAAACCAGGTTGTGTCTGAAGGAATCAGGCAGTGGGGAACAAGCCTTTGAAGAGCCCTTGTGTTCTCCTTACCCTGCATCCAGGTCTCCAACATTGGCTTCACAACTTCTGTCCTGCACAACCAAGATCAAGGGCGCAGGAGGTAGAGGAGGGGGGTGAGGGGCATGCAGAGAGAGAGACGGAGGGACAGCCCCTACAACCTCTCTCACTAGTGTGACCTAGTTTTTTAGCCCCAGATATAGAAGCCTGTGCGCAGGCTCAGTGGGATACCTCTTCTCTGCTTGAAGAACTCCTTGATTCTGCTCTGCGGGATAGTGCAGAGCCCAGGTGCTGGCAGCATGGATGGTGATGCACCGGTGAAGGTGAAGTGCCACCGGGGACTTGCCACCAGAGCCTGGGCTTGGAGCTGTTTTTCCAGCAGTGGGGGCAGGTGTGCCCAGAGCCAACTACATCCCCATCCAGTCCTCCTTCACATGGCCAACCACTTGCAGAGTGGGGAAGTTGAGGTCCCTGCAAGCTCCTGGGCATAGCACAGACCTGGTCATTGTGAACTGGGTGAAGACATAGAGCATGACCGAGTGAACCGAGGTGTAGTTGGCCAGGAAGAGAGAGCCCTGGTGCAGCACTGACCAGCCTGTACAGGGACCAGCATACAGGGACAGCCCAGACTTTGTTGACCAGTGCTGTTGAGCTCAGAGAGAGAACCTTCTCCCCCTACATCATCAGAGATTCCATCTTTGTCCTGCTCAGCTCTGCACCTCTTAGAAAACGAGGCCTTCAGATTGGCCTCGGGGTTTTAGGCTGAGCCCTCTCGCTCCTCACACCAGGAGGTCTGGCCCACAGAGGCAGGCTGCTGAACCATGTGCTCTCCGCTGCTTTCTTTCTTCCAGCATGTAATCTTGCTGAGGGAGGACAGGGTTCACCCAAGCCCAGTCTCCCTATAACCCGAGAAGGAAGGCACAGACCCTCACTCAGGGAACCTCCCTTCTGATTCAAAGCCATCTCTCTTGGTTCTAAAGGAGCCCCTAAAGACCACTTGTCTCCAAGCAGCACTGGAAACTAGCCCCCTGCTTTCCCCCCAAGCCCAGTTATAACCCAAATGGCCACCGTTCACTGAGAACCACCTACCTCTATCCTTACAACAACCCTGCAAGGTTACAATAATAGTGACCTCTCTGCATGCCAACCACCGTTCTCAATATTTGTACATATTAACTCTAATCCTTACCCCAGCCCTATGAGGCATTTACTATTATCACATGCATGTTATAGATGAGGGCACAGAGAGGTTAAGTAATCTGCCCAAGGCTACACAGCGACTGAGCAGCAGGGCCAGGATTCCTGCCATGAGTTCTGGCTCCCGATCCCATGATTGGGTCCACCACACTACACTGCCTCCAAGAAGGTATGATTCACCCCACCTGAGAGAGGAGAAAGCCAGGCTCAGAGACAGGGAGGATACAAGTCCTGGAGCTGGAGTTTGAATCCCAGTCAGTCTGAATCACCTCCAAGAGTCAGCTTCTCCTGGGGAGTGCCAGCCTGGTGGAAGGTAGAGAAGAGGCCAGTACTGTGCTCAGAGGCGCGCACAGTTCTCCATCTCCGTGAACGTCAGCACTGAGCAGCTGCACTCAGTGATAATTAGATGAAAGAAAGGCCCAGTCCAGAACCCTAGGGCAAGAGACCAAGGGGCTTGCAGTGAGACCCTAGAGGCTTTGGCCTCTTGAGTGTCCCTTGCTCCCATTAGCATATGGAAACCACAGCTTGCATACACACACGCACACATGTACATGGATCAGAGCATATCCAGTTTACAAAGGAACTTGAGAGTCACCGAGTCCAACACTCCATCCAGTGCTGGAATCAGAGGTTCCATGCTGAAGGACACTGGGTGAGAGTGTGGGTCACCCAGGCATTAATGGCGGGATACCTAGTATCGTCGACTTTTTTGGAGAACAGTCCAGTCATAAAAGCTCCTCCCCTTGGTAGCCTCCAAGACCAAGAGGAGAGTGGAAGGCTTGGCAGCTGACAGGGCTCAGTTCCCTACGCCACTAACCACAGCCTCCCCTTCCTCGTTCTCTTCTTACATGATCACTATTCAAGGTCTGCCCCACCATTCAGCTGATCCATGAAGACAGCTGATGTCTCCAGCCTCCCAGTCATGGCCTGACTGTCATTTAGTCTGAATGGCCTGCCCAGAGGGGACCAAGTCCTCTCTGTGCCCGGGGCTGTGCCGGAGAGATATGGAGACTTACTGGAATGTCAGGGCCATGTGTTTGCCTAAGGGCTCAATGGACACCTCTGGCCCTGCCCTTCTAAAGCTTCAGAGGGTCAACAAACAGAGAGAACATTCTCATCCCTCTGAGGCTGAGGCAACCCTGAGGACACGGGTTGTTGGACTGGCTCGTGCGAGACGCTTTCCTTCTTCTCAGCTCCACTTTCCCTTCCTTCCATAGACACCTGCCTACGGTTACATCCATCCCACACAGAACTGATGATCTCTCTGGTTCAACATCACTGAGCAGACACATTGGGGAGGCAACAGCTTGAAACTGAGGTCATGAAAAAGTGAGCACACACACACACAACATGCTTGCACACACACGCACACACGTGCACACATACACACTCAGCCACCAGTGCAGGAAAGCAGGAGTATGGGGACATCTCTCCCAGGGGGCTAACAAGTAGCAAAGCCCACAGCCTAGAATCTTGTTTCTTTGTTTTTCCCTGCCCTCCTCTGAAAGAACCAAAGACAGAACCGCCCCAAGGACTGACAGAACAGGAGGGGAAGCAGAGGATCCTGGGTAATCTACATCCTGGCCCATCAGCCCCTGAATTATTGAGCACTTGATTGTTTAAATCAAGAGAGTGGCTGTAAAACCTTCTTGGGCTCACAGAAGTAGGACTTTTAAAACCCAGGCTCCCATTTAGAGTCATGTGGTGTGGTTAAGGCAGTTTTAAAAGTGTTCTGTGGTTCCCAGAGGTTCCTTCCTGGTTTCACTGAATTGGTTTCCCCCCTACCCTCCATATCTAACTTGCTTTTGAAATCTTTAATCAGCTGAAAGCTGAGGGAAGCTCCAGAGGAGAAATGTAGCAAGTCTAGCTTTATGCAACGTGGTCTCCAAAGAGGAAGTGGATGGATGAAAAAGAAGGCATCTGAATGGTGTGCATCCAGTTTGGATTAGGAGGAGAGGAGAGGACTGACATCAAAAGTTCCCAGAGAAATATCCAGGGAGGGGTCATCCGGGCTCACCCATAAACACGTCTGTCCTGGCCCAAACCCTTCCTGCTAGCGCATCTGCAGCCCCTCAGAGTCATCTTCCCAAGAAGGAAATGTTCATCGGGGACATGAATAGCACATCTTGGCTGGGTGCTGAGATGATGATCAGCTCGGCATCGGAAACCTGCAGAGGGGGAAAGGGAATGGGGTTTAAATTATTCACACCAGATCTTCTTTTTTAGCTAAGGGTACATGAGGGAACCAAATAATTCAGGCCATCTGAGCCCAAAGCCAATGACCATGACAGATGTGCCCTGATCAAACGAACAGGGTATTTTTAGAGGCTAGAATATGGGCTCTG